TAAAAATATATTAAAAAAAAAAATTTTAGGCCAAATGAAGCATGAAAAATACTTAACTTAAAATAAAGACTTAAGATAGCATTAGCAGTTCTTTCCTTTGTAGGGAAGCTGTCTGCAAGGTTTGAGCCGCTAAGGATATGGTTTGGATCTTACCCTACTCTTTCCTGAGAGAGTTTTCCAGACAAGTCCAGCTGTTCTGGGGAGGAACCCAGTGGAAGCATCAAGTCTCTTTCACTCCCAATCTACTCTTCAACCCTAGGCCAGAAGCACCCACTCAAAGTGGGGTATTCTGCCCAGTTGGCTTTCCGGGTTCCCCGTCCCACCAGTCCCTGAACCCCACATGACCCCTCTCATTGGTCTGGCCTCTGACAGCCTCCACTCTCCCCTTCAAGTCCACTGAAGTAATTTAAAGTCAAACTCTAATTTTAAATATTTAGAATGTGGCTTCTTTCTCCCTTCTTGTAATTGTGGAAACCCTGTCTCCTAAAACAGCAGCTCTTCAGAGAGCATCAGAGAGGGGGCCTCCCTGATGGCACAAGGAATTAAGTCTCAGCACTATGAAGCTATCCACAGCCACTGCAGCACGAGTTCAATCCCCGGCCAGGGAGAAACCCACATGGCACAGCAGACCTCTCCAGTCTCACCCACTGCTCCCCTCAGTAGTGTATTTCAGTAGATTGGCCAGTTTTGCTCCCCTTTCTATCTCTGGTGAATCCCTTCACTACCCACACTTCTGGCCTACACCCCAGTTCTTGCATGCATAAATAAATAAAAATAAATCTTTAAAATAGAGAGCATCAGAGAACTGGCTAAAATGCCTGTTCTTAGGCCCCACATCACTCCCATCAGACCCCATTAGCCTTAAATTTGCATGTTAACAAGCTCTTGAGGCAATCAATACTGGAAGCCCCTGCACTTCACTTTGGAAATCATTTTTGGGAGGAAGTGGTGCCACAGCCAGTACTTAGTTTCTGGTCTCATTCTCCCGGTTGTACCCCAGAGTTAATAACTAGCACAATTCCCCAGGCTCCAGGTCGGAGATGGATGGGAGCGGGGAGAGAAGGGAGGGTTGCTCAAGAAACCGCCGTGGGCCAGGAGGATTCCCAATTAACAAGGCAAAACAGCCTGGAAGAGAGCGCTGCACATCTTACAAAAACAGGTCTCTGAAAAATGTGTCAACAAGGGCTGAGTCATTTTTAACCAAGGATTCTGTAAGGGACACAAGTGCCTGTATAACATGGCCACAGGACAGGCAGACCAGATGTGGGCTTGGGAGCCATGAGCTGCAAGTGAATGAAAACACATCCAATTCAGAATCAAATAAACATGCCTGGGCCCACAGCCAAGAGAGTTCTTGGATTGGACTTTTATCAGGGACCTAAATTTCAACCAGCTGGAACTTCTTCTTTTCCAAGCACCACCCTATTCCTTCCTACCTTTTGAGATGAAGTATTTGCCTTAAATGGGAAACTTGCACTTCATTGTAAAGATGATGCCAGCTTTCTGGCTTCCTGAATTCCTGAAGGCTTTGAGGGGGTAGAAAATGCATTTCAGGGATAACAGACCAGAGAAGGTGTACCCCATTTGGGTAGGAAGGCAAAAAATGTTCCCTCCTCTGCGGATCTGCCATTAAAGACCTGTGGGAATAGATTCCTAATTCCCTGTTCTATAAATAGGTCTCTCAAACAACCAGCAAGAGAAGTGACTGATACACAGTAACCCATCACCAACAAAACTACTCCACCATGCAGAAGCAAGAGTTAAGATCCAGTGCAAATGAGAATGCCCGGCCCCTCTAAAATTTTACAAATTGTTATTTCTTTGGGAAAACAGTATTTATTTCTCAAAGAGCAACTTCACCTGGCAAGGACCCTGAGAGATTTTTTTTAAGTAGTCGAGGAAGTGTGCCCACAACTGACTTCTAAAACACTGAGCTGTGTTCAAGATGGTTATCAGGCACTTAATTGCTGCTAATAATGGGAAGGTTGTGAAATCTGACCACTTAAACAGGCCGGCAGCCCGAAGGGTGTGTTAGCAGGGCTGTGGAGGGTTAGCTGGCTGCAGTCATCTTGCAAGCCCTGGGAAAATACACATTCCTGCAGGGGCAAGAGTTCCTGGAACAAATGCTCCTTGGAGATCAAGGGGAACATTTGCTCAGCTCCTCTCCAGTACCCAGATCCTGCCCCTCCTACCCAGCTCACTTCTCCACTCTGCTGTCCCCCTCTTAGGTTCTGTGTGACCGAGACCACCAGAAGTCTGTCCTGTTGCATCAACATAATCGACCCTTATTCATGTTTGCAGAGTCTCAATTAGACTGTAAACAACCTCAGAGCTGAGGCATCTACTGAGACATCCTCTACTATCTCGTTAGAGGACCCAGGTACGCATTAAATACCCAAGTCATTGTTCACCAGTACTTACTGGCAGTCCTCTGATAGAACTGCTAGAAGAATCTACCCAGTGGAAACAGGAAAGGCTTCTTGCAAGAAGTGATGGTGGAGATGAGAGGGGAAGTTGAGGTATAAAGAGAAGGAACACAGACAGGACACAGCATGTGCAAAGGACAGCTACAGAGGGACCACTGGAGCTTGGCGCTCTTTCCTTCAACTTCTTAAAATTTATTATTTAAAATATAGGATTTAGCAGAAAAACTGCAGGAACTAATTGGATTCGATCAAAATTTACAGGGCTCCAAGTTCTGACAAGAGGAGGTTAAGTACTTGGCTAACAAAACTAAAGACATAGTTGTGAGCAAACACTAAGGGTGCATTCTGGTGAGAACCAAGGTGCAAGGACCTGCCCAAGAGGGCAAAGCAAGAGCAATGGGATTCAAGAAGGGCTTCCCTGAGGAGGTATCACCTGAGCTGAGACTTAGGCTGAAGAGGAGTCTCAGGGGCAGAAAAGGCATCCCAGGGACAGGAAAAAGCAGCCTCAGTGGCATAAAGGACTCTGCTGTCAGGAGTCAGGGAACACGAAAGAAGGGGCCTTGGGTTTGAGGCTGGAAAGGTGGTTATATAAAGTAGGTGGACAAACTGATTTAGTGAGAGTCAGTAGCTCCATCAGATGCACCAAAAGGTAAGTCCAGGAGGGAAGGAGCCATTTTATCAGTTTGGGAAGAGCCTGGAACCTGGAAAATGGCCCAGTTGCCTCCATGCTCAGCCAGGAAGGGAATGAACAGGATTCAAGGAAAGGGCTGGGGGGGGGGGGGGGGGGGGGGGAGGCAAGGTAGGAGTTGCTGAAAAGTTCACCCCCAACTAGGAGGTGCGGTAGGAGAAAGGAGGTCAGCATGAGCGTGCGACCACTGGGGCAGAGGCCATCATTTATTCCTTGGGGGTGCAAGTTTAGAGGAAGAGACTACATTTCCAAAGGGAAAGAACAAAACTGCCAGTCTGGCTCCTTTAAATGCTACACTATGTCCACATTAAAGCTTCACAGGCTTTGTACACTGGCACATGAAGCTACCTAGACAACTGCAGAAAGACAGCAAACTGGACTGATGTCCCTATGCTGTCATGCGAAATCTCAAAATCAAATACCTGTCATGCCACTGCTCCTGATTATTCAAAATCCAACATACTAGTCTGAATCCAAAAAATATTAGGATTAATAAATAAACATGGCATTACCTTAAAATTAATTTTTTTAAATCTTAACGCTAAGGAAAACTTGGTATTCATTTTGGGGTTGGGGTGGAGGAGTATAGCCATCTTAGTGCACCTACTGGGTTTGAAGACTTCCCAGCTGCCTGGCTTATATCTGGTTTTCTTCACTGTGTTTCCCTGAATGTGGCTCAAGTCACTTAGAGGCACGGCCTGTGAACCTAAAGGGGAGTCAAGTCCTAGACCTTCACTACACTGAGGGTATTCAGAGCGCCCGGTAGAGGTGGGTCAACGTTGATCTAAAGAAAACTTCCAAATACATACCTCAGTGCGGCAGTATGGACAAAATAGGAAATACCCACTCACTCCCAATTTTCTAGTGAACAGGCTCATGGCTGCCCAGCAACAGACCCAAGGTCATGTCCGTGGTTGCCGGAGCGCAAAGCTGGCATTCCCAAGGCTGGAGACCATGAGTGCCTTGACACGGGGCTCACCAAGGCTTTGGTGGGAGATGCAGGACAGGTGGATGCAGTTTTCCCGATCCCGGTGCGGCCCGAGCCCAGGTCCCCTGGCGGGGGCGGGAAACACCATGCCCCACGGCCCCGAGAGCATCAAAGCGGCGCTTGGGGACCCGGAGAAGGCTCCAAGCCTACAGCGGAGGTCTGGGCACCTCTCCAATCTCATCTCCGGCACCTGACCGAGTTCACAAACTCTTGCACCCCCTAGGCCGCGAAAAGTCTTCGCAACTCAAACTGGGGAAGGGAGAGGGGGGAGCAGAGATCACCCGTGAGACCCTTCGCTAGAGGAAGGGTAGAACCGGGAGCAAAATTTCCCAGCGAGTGAGGAGTCAGGGGTGGGGTGAAAGTAGGGGAAGACCGCCCGGCCTAGAAGGAACAAAGCAGTCCCCCCCAAGAGGGGGGCGCATCCTCCCCTGCGCTCCGAGGCCCCTCCCGGCCAGTCCCCCGCCTTTGCAGGGCAGTGGACTAGAGGTCCCGGGCAGACACCCCACACCGCCGCCCCATCCAGACAGCTCGCAGGATGCGGGCCCCGGAGCTCGCAGCCGGGAGGCGGAGGAGGTCCCGGGCCGGGAACAAAGGGTGGGGCGTCCTCTCCCCACCCACCGCCGGGTGCCCCTCTCGCCGGCCTCAGGGAGTCGGACCCCAGGCGGGGACGCGCCTCATTAACAACACAAAGCCGGGGGTCGGGCAGCCCCTTTCATCCCGGCCAGGGCGGGCGGACGAGCGCCCGGAGAGAGAGGCAGGGCAGGCGCCCCCGGCTCCCGGCTCCGCGGCTGGCCCTGCCGAGAGCAGGCTCGTCGGGCGGGTCCGCGCCCCACGCGCCCCACGCGCACCTGTGCGCACCCGCCCGCCGCGCGCCGCGGACCGCGCGTCCTCGCCTTACCCTCCAGCCACAGGTGTCGGCGCCCCGCGCGCGGCCGGAGCCGCCCGCGGCCACGGCCAGCTGCGAGCCGTTGAGGCAGGCGTTGACTGTAAAGAAGACGGAGCAGAGCTGCAGCCACGGGGCCATGGCCGTGCGCTCGCCAGCCCGGCCCTACTCTGCGTCCCGGCGGCCCGCCGCTGGCCAGCCCCGAGTGGGCGGTGGCGCTGGCGGCGCTGGCCCGGACCGCACCACGGAGCATGCGCCGCCGGCGCACGCCCCGCCCAGACGCTAGGCCCCGCCCCACCCCGCCACTCGGCCCCGCCCCCGCCCTCGCCCCGCCCCGCCCCTCCAGGCCGGCCCTGCGGTCCCCACGCCTGTCGAGGCCACGCCCCCGTGTTACCGCTGGGACACCCGTTGCAGGTTTTTTCCCCAACCCGAAAACCCGAAGTCTGGTTTTTGTGTTTTGTTTTTTTTTTTTAATTTTTAATTCCAAGAATTTGTCCCAGGGATGCCTCTTACTGCAAAATTAGGGAAACGAAAGAATATAGTAATCGTGCTGATAATGGTTTAAAAGCACCTATTATTTGCCAGGCCTTTTCTGAACTCCTCCCAAGCCCACAGGGAAGCGTCAGTATTATTGTCATGCCAGCTCTCGGCTCAGAAAGTTAGGGTAATGTGGTGATTAAAGAAATCCTGGCCGGGACCTCAGACAAATGACTTGCTTTCTCCACAGTACTGTTCCCTGCCCTGTAGACTGAAATAATAAGCCTAAGTATTCTAGTCTGTGGTAGAGCCTATTGGTTAAGGCATAGCAAGTGCTCAGTAAATGTTAATAATAGTAAATATCTATTATTAACTGACTTACATAGAGTCACACAGCTCTCAACCACCAGACCTAAGATTTAAATGGAGGTCTGGCAAAACAATACACCACTACACTTGTCAAACTAAGCCTTGTGCAGTTGTTAGTATACAACCAAGGGGTCCTTGGGGATCCCAAACTGTTAAGGGGGCCATGTTAAAAGGGGTTCAGATTTCTGTGTGCATAAAAGCAAAGGAAGCATACTGTGAGAGTGATAGATTTTTAATAGAATTGATGTGGAGAGAGAGAGGGAGGGAGGGAAGTATTTCATATAATAGTTTCCCAATAAAACTCCCCAAATTACCCATCCCCACATAAGCAGATGCCCAGTCAAACAGGCTCAGCCCAAAGTGGGGCCACTGAGGCATAAAAGCACGCCACAAGTCTAAGGTACCCTTCTGCTGGGGAACCACCAAAAAGTGGTTGGGTAGGTGCCAGAGGGTTGGGACAAAAGAAGGGACACCCCCACGTCTCGTCTCCACGTACCAGGGAACAAGTCAAAGCTGGGAAAGCAAGAGAGAGCCAGAGCATTTATCTGTTCAGTTATGAAGCAAGCATGGCTGTTTAACTCTCCCTCTAGTTGCCAGCAGCCCCCAATTCAGGAAATCAGGCACATGGCTTGCTGGGAATTATAATGTTTGGCTCCTGAGATCTCATGGAAGCAAAGGTGAGGGTGAGGGTGGTAGGGTGGGGTCCATAAGTCATCAGGGGATGGAGTTCATTCAGGATGTCATTCACTGACTCAGAGCTTGCTCCTTAATGTTCCTAACCACCTCCAGAGTGGTTAGCATCTTTATTTGGAAGAGGAAGCTAAGACTCGGAAGTAGAGTGGCCAATGTCAGTATGGCTTTCACAATCCCCTTTGCCTAGTCTCTCTACATCTGAATCCCAACACTTCATCCTTCTGCACTGCCCCCTCCCTCATCCACTCACCACCTCCTCTTCCACAACCACTAAAGGTTTTTCCTGATTCTGCTTTTGTCCCAAATTACAAGGCATTTTCTCCACCTCTGCATCCAGAGCCATCTCTGAAGTCAGACCACTGACTTCTCTTGATTAAAAAATCTTCCTTGGTGATTTATTTATGTCCTCTTCTCCCACATTATCTCTTCCCACTCCATCTTAAGTACCTGGCTCCAGTTAATTCTAGTCTTCCAATTTGACCTCCATCTTGGTCTTCTTGTCTCAATAAACCTGGGACACACATCTCTGTCCGTCTGTCAAGGAAGGCTCCTCTATTTGACCCTCTTTTTCTGGGGCCCAGGAACCAGTCTGTCTCCTCATCTGGCCTGGCCTAAGTGTAGTGACAACTTAGTTATTAATTACTAACACTGGGCTTCTATACTTTCCCTTGTGGCGCTACACACCCTGCCTGTACCTTGTATTTAAACCCTCTGTGGAGGCAGAGAGGAGCTTTGCACGCGACCCTTGTGGAGAAAGTCGACTCTTCTCCATAATGCTAGCAGAAGTCCTATGGATTGGCTATGATGGATTTGCCTTTGGGACTACAGAGCAGAGCCAGTTTCATTTGAACCATGAAGGCTGGAAGTGGAAGGCTTACATATGACCGAGGAGCCAAAGGAAAATTGGCAATGTTGCCAGAGGAAGGGAGGATGAGGACTGGGTTCCCCAAACAACAGCATCCACCATGAGACCCAGGTGCCGGGCTTCCTCTTCCATCACCACCAGACAGTAATATTTATTTTTTATCTCATTATGAATTTAGCCAAACTCAGTGAGGGCAAGCACCACAACTTCTCTGGTTATCCAGAAGAACCAAGAGCCCCAGAAGGCTGCCTCTGTTACAGGGCAACAAACATCTTTTCCCCCCAACACCTGCAGCTTAGCCTACTAAGAACAGACCTCACACAGCACTGTTGAGAATCACAAATTTGCCACCCCAAAACATGTCTTTTGCCAAGAGGTTTTTTTCCATGGGAGGGACTCTAAAGGCTGGGTGGAGGCTGTTTTTGATATTTATGTCTAAACTTCTCTCTGTAAGAGTCTTTTCCAGGAAGACTCAATCCCCTTATCTCTTTTCAATGGAGATGAGAAGTATCTTTGTTTTCCTCTAATAAATGCCCTAATTAACTTCCCCTTTCTTCCTTCTAACCTCCCTCATCCTAGCTGGGCTATTTAAGGTCACATCTAAAGCCAAGTGGGTGAAAAACCCAGCCATGCTGGGGCCCTCTATGGGAGGCATACATATTATTATTTAACGTCTATATGTCTCTTTCTCCTATCAATCTGCCTGATGCTTGTTTCATTATTTGCCAGCTTAGAAGAACCCAGAGGGGTACAGGATGATTTCCTTTGCACCAGTTTGGTCTTTTGAAGGAGCTATTGGTTTAATGTTCCATGTCCTTCTAGGTCTTAGCATATATATCCTTCCTGATATAACTCCTCCTGGGTCATTCCCAACCCCCACAGAGGGGATGTCAGGAGTTTGGCCATTAATGTGGAGGGTTCCAAGGACTGAGACAATACCAGAACATCATGGGAATTGCTGAAACACCAAGGACAACACGAGGTTGCCTGCTTCTTGGGCTCCTTCATCTGTGTGACAATCCTCCATCATTTATTAATTAATCTCCTCCTGAAGTAAAAGCTATTATAATTAGTGATTTAAAAATATGCTCACACATTTATCTTGATACATTTATTCACCTATTTTCTTAGGATACATTCCTGGCGTCAGAACTGCTGCATTATGTGCATTTAAATGACCAAGATGCTTAATACCTTCTGCTGGCTTCACTGGCTTTTCTAGGTGACCATTTGCATTTCTTCCTTTGTTTCAGAGTTAGGCTCTAGGAACAGGGTCAGCATCTGGAACTTGTGACAGAAGGAAAAACTTACAGAGGGTGTTGGGAAGAGAATGATTCCTCTGGGTTTTAGCTTGTGTGACTAAGGAGAAGGCAGATCAAAACTCCCTTTCTAGTCTCCACACCCACCCAGTAGTGAGCTCTCTCCCTTCCACAACTCACTGCAGAGTCTGGCAACTAACAGCCTCTGAAACAGGCTGTGGAGTTCAGAGAGAGCCCCAGCTTCTCTAAAAGGATACAGAGGCCATAAGGAAAAAAGAAAGGCCTACACCTCCCCTGCAATAGGGCCTATTTACCCTCTAGGAAGGCCACAGACCTGTGTGTGGGAGGGAGGTTGGGGGAGGGGAAATCACATACATGAAAGGGTCAAATTTGGTCAGGAAATAAAGGTAATAAATTGGCATTTGGCAAGAGCCTTCCCATGCTGGTCCTCTCCAGTGATTCTTTCTCTCTCATCCTCTTTTTTTATTCAGATCCTTCAGAATATTTGTGAGGCTGCAGGAAGAAAACATCTGGACTGTAAGCTGAGATGAGAGACGCCAGGCATCCCACAAGGACTCAGCTGTGTAGGTGACCAGAGGATGACACCTCCTCCAAAGACTGGGTCTCAATTCTTTCACCATCCATGTCTGATTCACCTCTCTGCTGCCAGTGCCTGGCGCTCTATCTGATCCACACCCAAGGGCAAGAAACTGTCCACACCTCTCCTTGTTTGGAACAAAGCTGGGAATTAATTACACAGAAGAAATCACTTTACAATAAGCTGTTGATGAAATGCAAATATATTTCCCCAATTTACCTAGAACATAAGCAGATAAGAAAAATCCTTAACACAAGGCTTGGATTGTTAGCAGTCAAATGATCCCCTGAAACTGTTATAGGACAAGGAGAGGGGCAGCCCAAACCCCGCAAACCTGCCTATTTTAAATGGGTTCTGCCATCCGCCGCATCAACACAAAACATATAAGACTTTAATGGGAAGGAACTTTAATAAAACTAGGAAACAATACAGGTAGAGTCAGATGAAGCACCCAAAGTTACCCGTCCCCTCCATCCATATGGGATTGGCCCACAAGGGCTGCTACAAGTCTAAAGCATCTTCCAGTGTCACAAACAACTGGACAAGCCCGGAAGGAAAAGAGCAAAATCAACATCAAGAGCTGCCATTGTCACCTGTCTCACCCACATTTGTGCCACCTAGTCCACGACCAAAAGACAAGCACAGTTTCTTCACTAAAACACAAGCTCATGGAAAATAACGTCAGAACAGACAAAACACAATCATGGAAATAATTTGTCTCCTGAATCATTTTTAGTTGAGAGCAACTTAATGAACAGTGGTTAGAAGCAGAGGGCCAACATTCTAATTTATTTCTGGTATTGTGATCAAGTAGTGTATTGTTTTTTTACATTTAATTCAGTAGCACATGTTTTACCCACTAATCAAGACATTGAAAGTAAAGCATGTGTGCCCCTCCCCTTT